AGTTCCCGTGTTATTGAAGATTTGTTCATAAAGTCTTTTCCTATGCCAATGTCTTCCAGAGTTCTGTGTAACTTATCTTCCAGCAAGTTTAGTGTTCCTGTTTTAATATTTAGATCTTTAATCAACTTGGATTTTACTTTAGCGCATGGTGAAAGATAAGGATCTAGTTTTAATCCTTGGCAGGTTGAGATCCTGTTTTTCCAACACGATTTATTAAAGAGACTATTTTGCCTCCACTGAGGATGGTTGGCTCCTTTGTCAAAGATAAGGTAGCTGAGTACATCTGGAGTTGTTTTTGTATCTTCCAGTCTGTTCCACTGATCCTCAGGTATTTTTTTTGCCAGTACCATGCTGTTTTTATCACAGTGGCTTTGTAGTATAGTTTCAAATTGGGAATTATTATACCCGCTGCCATGTCTCTGTTGCCTAGGATGGCCTTTGCTATTCTAGGTCTCTTACCGTTCTAAATGAATTTTTGGATTCTTTTTTTTTCTGTGAAATATAGTGTTGGAATTTCAATTGGCATTGCATTGAATCTGCATAGCAGTTTTGGTACTATGGCCATTTTCACTATGTTGATTCTTCCTACCCAGGAGCAGGGGATATTTTTCCATTTTCTTACATCGTCTTCAATCTCTTTTTTCAGAGTGCTGTAGTTTTCAGCATAGAGGTCTTTGCTTCTTTTGTTAGGTCTGTGAAATATAGTGTTGGAATTTCAATTGGCATTGCATTGAATCTGCATAGCAGTTTTGGTACTATGGCCATTTTCACTATGTTGATTCTTCCTACCCAGGAGCAGGGGATATTTTTCCATTTTCTTACATCGTCTTCAATCTCTTTTTTCAGAGTGCTGTAGTTTTCAGCATAGAGGTCTTTGCTTCTTTTGTTAGGTTGATTCCTAGATACTCCATTTTTTTGGATGCTATTGTAAAAGGAATTGTTTCCCTAGTTTTTCTCTCAGTGAGTCTGTTGTGTATTTGAGTGTTGAGGTAAGTTTTTAATTGCATTTTCAATTTGATATTGGATCATTTGGAATTTTTAGGTCATTTTCATTCAACTTTGGTAATACATAAAAATCTAGGAATCTGTCCATGTTTTCTGTATTTTTCACTTATTGGCACATAGGTTCTCCAAGTAGGTATTGATGATCCTCGGGATTTCTGCTGGGTCTGTTGTAATTTCACCCTTTTCATTCCTAATTACATGGATGTGGGCCTTTTCTTCCCTTCTTTTGATAGGGTTGGCTAAGGGTTTGTGAATTTTGTTTATGCTTTCGATTAACCAACTCTTGGTTTCATTGATTTTTGTTGATTGTTCTTTTAGTTATCATTGTGTTTTCTGCTTTGATTTTTATAATTCCCTCTCTTGTATAAGCTTTGGGTTTGTCCTGCCCTTCCTTTTCTAGAAGCTTGAGGTTCAGCATCAGGTTGTTCTCACTGTTTTCCTAATATGCATATGCAGTTCTATGAATTTCCCTCATTAAACTTTCATTGTGTCCCATAGACTCCAGTATGTTGTACTGTCATTGTCATTTAATTGTAGGGACTTCTTAATGCCATCTGTGATGCACTGGTTATTCTGAACTGTGTTATTCAATAAATATATTAGTGAAATTTTTTCTTTTCATTGAATTTATTGGTTCTTTTTAAGTATACATTATAGTTACATTCATCAGTGGGATCTTGCACCTTAACATGACATATCTTGGTTCTCATTGTTTCCCTGTACCCCTGCCCTCCCTTCACCCCCTCCACCCTCCCCTATTTACGAAGACTTTGTTTCCATTTTTTTCTCATATTTTCCCTTCTTTCCTTTCCCCTACCCTACCCGCTTCCCCTACACCTTTAGCCCATTTCTTCCTATTTCACATTGTCAGTTATACAATTTGAACCTTATTTACACTTTGTTTTTCACACCAGAGAAACTATTCAGTATTTACACGTGTCTTATTTATTTCATTTAAAGAGTACGGCCTCAATATGAATCCATCTTCCTATGAATAACTCTAGTTTCTCATTCTTTATGGCTTAGTAGTACTCTATTTTATAGAAAAACCTGTTTGTGTAATTATTGCAGTTTCTTTTGCTATTGATCTCCAATTTCACTGCGGTATGGTCTGACAATATACAGGAATCACTTCAATTCCTTTGCACTTACTTAAGACATTTCTATAAGCAAGTATGTGGTCTATTTTGGAGAACAACCCATGTGCAGCTGAAAAAGAATGTGTATTCTGATTTTGTGGGTGGAACACTCTGTAAACATGTTAAGTTCATTTGTTTAAGAGTTTGTGTTTTAGTATTTCATTATTTCCTGCCTAGTTGATCTGTGACAGTGGGATATTGACAGTGGGGTAACTGTATCCCACTATCATTGTACAAGTGTTTATATGACTTTTCATGTCTGTATTTGTTTTATATAGTTGGGCACACTAGTGTTTGGTGCATACATATTTATGATTGTCATGTCTTCCTCTTGGATTGTTCCCCTTATAAGGATGTAGTGTCCTTGTCCCAGTTGGTTTGAAATTCACTTGATCTGCAGAGGATAGCTATTCCTGCTTTTTTGGGCATTCTTATTGCATGGAGTATTGTTTCTACCCTTTAACTTTCAGTCTATGAGTTTCTTTTTTAATTGTTTCTTATATGCAGCATATTCTTGGATCTTGCTTCTTGACCCATTCTGCCGATGTATTTCTTTTGATTGGTGAATTGAAACCATTAATATTGATGATTATAACTGATAGATACTGACTTATCCTTGTCATGACTTTTTTTTTGTTAGATTACCCCCCCCTTTGCATTTAATTTCTTGTCGTGCCTGATGGATTCATTCTGCTGGGCTTTCTGGGGTTGTGACCCTCATTGTCATTTCCTGGGATATTGTTAGAAATTTTTTGGAGTGCTGGTTTGGTATTCATGAAGTTCCTGAGGTGCTCTTTGTCAGGAAAGTATCTCATTTCTCCATCAATTTTAAAAGATAGTTTTGCAGGGTACATCAATCTGGCTTGGAGGCTGTTTTCCTTTAAGGATTCAAATACATCACTCCAAGCTCTTCTTGCCTTGAGGGTTTATGTGGAGAAGTCTGCTGTGATTCTGATGGGCTTTCCTTTGTATTCGTCTCTTTTCTCTGCTTGTAGAATTTTATTCTATTGGATTTCTGGAATCTTAACTATGATATGCCTAGGTGTAGAATTTTTTGATCATGGCTAGTTGGAGTCCTATATGCTTCACTTACCTGTACATCAAATTGTTTTCCCCTACTTGGAAAGTTGTCTGCCATTACTTCTGTTAACAGTTTTTTATTTTGAATATCATTTGCACTCTCTATTTCTCCATTGCCTCCGATCAGTCTTATATTATTCTTCTTTGCATCATCTAGCAGCTGCTGGATTGATTTCTCATGGTTCCTTACTCTTTTTAAGAATTTTTTCTTTTCCTGGTCACTAACTGCAATCCTATCTTCTACCTCTGAAATTCTATCTTCGTGGGCCAGGGATTTAGCTCAGTAGTTCCACTGCCTGCCTCGCAAGTGCAAGGTCCTGAGTTTGATCCCCAGCACCCCCCAAAAAAGTCACATGTGCCAAAAAAATTAATGAAAATCTACCTTCACATTGGCTCATGCTGCAGCGTAAACTTTCAGTGGAGTTTTTAATCTCTTGGAAATCTGTTTCCATGTTTTATGGATTCCATTTCTTTCCTATGTTGGGATTCCATCATGTTTCTCAGCTCCATTTTTTTTTTTAATCTGTGTCTGCTCTAGATTAATCGTGTCTTGCACTACAGGCATAATCTCTACTGCCTGAGAAATTATTCCTGATTTCATTTTTTTCCAGATCCTCTTTCTATTGCCAGTTCAGGGAGTCCAGGTGGTTGAGTATTAGATTGTTCCATCTCATTTCCCTTTAGGGTTGTCTGAGGTGATCTATGAGTCTGGTTTCGAGACTTAGTTATGTGTCCCCTTATTTCACCAGAAGCAGCCTGCTGTACTTTTGTTGAGGCAAGTTTTTGCTTACCCAGTGCTCTTTACTTCTCAGCAAACCACCAAGTGCTTTTCTTTGCTGCTCACCACTGTACTAATTCCTGGGTTCAGAGTAGCAGCCTTCTGGATCCTTGCTTGCTGTTAACCTGGTGGGGTTCTGGTTGGGGCATGACCACACCTGGGATGGTATCTAGGTGTGCCTCTGGCTAGGGTCTGCCCTCCTAGGTAGCTGTTGTCTGGTAGGGGCTTTGGCTGGGGGCTGAGCACCCCAGTTACTGTTGCCTGTGGGGGCTTCTGGCTAGGATCTGCCCACACTTACCAATGGTATCAGGGCAGGCCTCTGGCTATTGCTTGTGCACCTGTGCAGCTCTTTTCCTGGAAGGTCTTTGGCTGTGGCTTGTGGGCCCAAGTGGCCCAGGTTGGCGCAGGGCCCTGGCTGGAAGTGCCTGTAGCCATGTGCTCTGGTCCACACCAGCTTTTCACTGGGATCTGAAAGCACTTACCAATGGTATCAGGGCAGGCCCTAAATGCTATCTAGTCTTAACACAACTTCACCAGGAAGTCTTCAATTATTGTCCTCTTCTTATTGTCTTAGCATTTGGTCTTTGTTTTTATATGATACCAAATAAAAGTGTAACCCACAAGAATATAAGCTCCTCCTAGACAGCAAGAACTGTACTTCATATAGCTTAGGATGTCACTATTAACACTATTAAGCAAATATTTATTACCAGTAAAGAACAACAAACTTCTTCCAGTGAATTAGTAGACTTAGTAGATAAGTAGATAAGATTAGTAGATAAGATTAGTAGAATTAGAAGATAAAAGGACCAAGTGGCTTAGGTACCATTATTTTCTACAAAGAAACACATGAACAGGATTTGGCAAACAGCAAACATTCCATGTTTTCTGAGTGGAAAAATTCTGATATTTAAGTACAAGGTACTCTTCATAATGTGTATAAATGTTTCATAATAGTATACATTTCCTAGTTCTGTCATTTTTTAAAGATTTAAAATATACTGAACAGACATCACTCTTGAGATTCTTGCCATGGAGAGGATAGTGATATGAAACTATCACACTCTATATTCAACTTAGTATTCTTCAATATACTATCAGTATAAAATTCACTAATATGTCAGGGTATATTTTAATCATTGTTACCTTAGTCGTGTTAGTATTAGAAATGACAAGGTCAGAATAACTTAATAGAATTTCATTTAATAAGTATATTTAAAGTTCATCTCTTCCAAAAACATTTTAATTACATTCAAACTGTATTCATTTACCAACAAACTCATTTATATACAAGACTAAATATTAGAAAACAGATTAAAATTAAAACAAGCTTTAATTTTAAAAAGTCCTTCCAAAGTTTAAACACTGAACTACGAAATGTATACTAACAAGTATACATTGTCAGGAAAATACAAGTTGTTCTAATAAGAAAAAAGGTAATAGATACAATGAAACATAATTCACATAATTCATATTAGCTCAATTTACAGGTGTGTCTCAAAGTAGTTTAAAAAGCTAATTACTAACACAGGCAAAATTCACAGATGATATTCTAAATTAACATATATACTGTATTACCAAAAAAGTAGAGGTTCTTAAGGTTTTATATTGACCCATAATTTTTCATTTCTTCATTCTCAAATGGAGAACCAGAGGATTTAAGGAGTTTTCTTTTTGGTCTTGAAATTGGATTCATGTTCCTTTAATAATAATGACTCAAATGTATCGTGAGAAATATATCAAACCTGTCCAATACTTAGAGCTCAGTAACCAAGACATTTCTTTCACTTTTCCCTGTACCTCTATTTTCCCTTTAAAAAGTCTCTAAGAAAAGCCTTATAAACAGTATCAAGTCAACCCTGAGAATGCCAAGATGTATGTAACTTGGCATTAGCATAGTTTTACCAAAAACAAAAAGAAGAAAAATATTATCTCCTATTTATTAAACCATAAATGTAAAAAAGAGGTAAATCATATCTGAGAATGTCGTCAAGAAAAACTAATGAAAAATAAATGGAAGAAGCCTTTTGGAACTGTGGTCTGTGTTTTAGTTTAAAAAACACAGCAATCAAGCTATTTGATACTAATAACTACTGAGCACTTTTTAAAACTTATATGAGTTTGTTTTTAAATTTTATCTAAATCAAGTTTCAGTAACCAACACAAAAAGGTCATAATCACTGTGCTCATATAAGAGACTTTTGAAGTTTGTTAAATGGGAGGAAAAGAAGAAAGTGTACAGTATACATCAAATTACAAGAGGTAGGACCAAAAATAAACACTTGATCCAAATAGAGACAGGAAGGAATTTTGCCCTTTTTTTCAGATTCTATTGCATTTTATAGTCTACACAAAAGAACATTCCTTTTTTAATATATTCAGATTAAAAGTAGTAAAATGAATAGACCCTAAGACACTCTATTTTTAAAGGGGATATCTTTAGAATCTGGCTGACTGGTTGGATTTGTTTATAATATTTCTTAAAGAGTTGACTCTTCTAAAATGGTGGTACTGATACATTCAGCCCTTTCCCACATTACAAAGTCATCAGTAAGAATTTTAAGTCAGGGTTTTAAGGAAATGTTTAACTTCAAATTAAGTTTGTTTAAAATATACTGCTGTTATGTCAAATGGTGAACTATTACTATTTTATGCCTTAATAAGCATATTATTAACAAACATTACAGAGGCATCCACTCTGGTCACTATAAAGATTTAGATTATATATTTCTTTTCCGGTACCAGGGATCGAATTGAGGACAGTGCGCTTGTCAGTGAAATACATCCTCCACCCACTATAAAGATTTAAATGATCCTTTTTTTCTTATATATAAAGATGGTGGTGTCTCTGAAGCAACATTATAAATGAGAAAAGGCCATTCAGAGACACACAACCCTATCTCAATTTTTGGAAGTCAGTGCATTCAACAGTTGTAACAGGCATGATTTTTTCCACAGCTGAGTTCTAGAAGAGGAAAAAGAAAAAAAAAAGATGACTAATTTGAAAGTCATACTAAATAATAAGAAAATAAAGACTGCCAGTACTCAAAGTCAAGTATGGTACAACCTGAGTGTCAATCGGTGGTGGGTTTTTCTCCCAAAGGAAGGCGTTCCCATAGCTGGAGCAACTGTTCACCAACCTGAGGTTCTAGTTCCTAGATAAATCAAAAGTCAAAATAAACCTAAAAAGAACTGGATTAAAATTTTATTTAATCAGCAAAATCCATGCTGATAAAAATGTAAAAAAAAAATCACTTTAAGTTTTATTTTTACTAGAACATACTAAAATTATATGGTACACATTGTTCTAATTCCCTGCTAAATTTAGGGTGAATAAAGTTGACTTTTCAATTTGTAGTTAATATACAAATATCTTAATTTTTGTTACAAATGGCAACAAATTTCTATGATGTCCTTCTGGAATTTGTTGGGATTTGTATTAAACGGAAACAGTAAAAGCACTTACCTTGAATTTTCAAAGGTTTACTGTGAAACCTATCGTATAACATGTTGTATGATTTTTTTTTTTCTCCAAGAAACTATCTTAAGAGACAACACATTCTAAGGAATTAAATTTATTTCTAATGGTTATTATAAAATAAAAATGAAAATATTACTACAGAAATGAAAATAATTCCACTTTATAGTTTTCCTGTAGCATAATACCTCTGATGATTACTTAAAAAGGAATCTAAATGCTTTTTCCATGGTGATGGTAAGCCACACTGGTTCAGATAAATAACTATGTGATGTTATGCAAAGTTAATATGTAAGTCTATATTCTCCTACATTAAATTGGACTAATAACTCATTTTATTTTTAAGAATTAAATTATATAAAGTACATAACTGGCAGTGTATCTTAACACTGTGTTAATTCTTATAATTAGATTAAAATGCATACAAGTAGTATCACAAAAGCAAAGTAAAATAAAAGTAAAGCAAGCTACTAGAATATAAAAAGGTTATCTACATAATTAAAATGATAGAGAAGTTAATACTGTTTCACTTTGAGACTTGTCAAATTACCTTATGACTGCACTAAATTTTGACCATACATTAATGTAACCACCACGAAGCAACTTATGAAAGATTTCACACAGGCAGTGACAGCAAGAAACACAATTACAAAATGCTAAAAAAGTTTTAAGACTCATTTGCAAGTACATTTTTATCAAAATCACTGTTTCCACATACATATGGAATATATAATTTGTAGGTTTACTCCTCTAGGCACTGAGTAATATCAAAAGAAACACCCAAAATAAAAGGAAAAAATTTAAATACCTGACCATCTCGGCTTATCTGCACTTTCTTGTTCTCATTCCAAGGATTCAGTAAATGGTGTGCAAACTGAAAGGGAAGGCTTTCTTTTCGAATCCACTCCACTTTAAATAATCCCCCTAGCCCAGCTGAGCCCCAATCCGGGCTCTTCTCCCTTCCTATCTCAGAAGACATTCTTGAAAATCCCTGTAGGGAAAATGAAGGAAAAGAATGAAAGTGAGAATATTAAAATATATAAATTTATCTGATAAGGTTGAGTTTCCTAAAAACAATACAGAAATCTAATTTTTATAAAAAGATTTATTAACAAGTTTTAGAAGAAAGGCTAATTCTAATTTTATAATTTCAAATATTAAGTTTCTAATTCATCAACAGTTGTAAGCCCATATTTATTACATAAAAATAATACAATCAATCAAACCTGTTTTTATTTTTAAAAATTGTAATATCAATAATAAATTCACATTTTATAAATTCATATCTACAATAAGTTAAGAGTAAAGTATATTTAGCTTCTTCACTGTCAATATTAACTTTTTCAGCCTATTTATCAAAAGGTAAAGTTTCTCTCTTAATCTACAGAAGAACTAGTGAATCTAAAGATGTCTTCAGAAGGAAAATATATTTATCCAGATGCTCTAGTAAAACAAGGTAAAAACCTAAAGATCCTAGTTCTATCATCCCCTTGAAGAGATACGAAACATTCCTTAAGCCAAAGACATTGTTGTACTCCAAGGAAATAAAGAGCCAGTGTTGTTTTGTTTTTTCTGTCTGGTGTAATCTATGGCCAGAACAAGCCTATTCTGTTTCAGGATGGCTCACCTGGAAATGTCCAGATCCTTGAACAGAAAATACCAAGTAAACCATGCTGCTTTCCCAAAAGGCTCGATTTAGCTTTCGCTCATTACTTGGGGTTGTAGACCAGATACCCTTCTGTTGAGAAATTTCAAGGTTTCTCAGATTGCTACTCTTCATTATGAAGTATCGAACAGGCATATTTGGTCTTGGTGAAGGAGATTTTGAGCCCTATAAAAGAATGCACAAGTTGCTGAAAAGTAATTTGACCTTTCAAAAGTAGTAGGCTCCATTAAATAACATCTTCAAAGAACAAACATATTCAGAGACACATAAACCAAAACATTTAACAAATGCAAACAGTTCTATCGTGCCTCAAAACTGATACAAGAATCAGCCAAAATGAACTTAAATTTAGAGCCAAAGAACAGCAAATATTTTTACACCATTCAAAAAAAAAAGATCCTGATGGGAAGAAAGGAACTAAAGGTGTAGGGAAGGTGGGATGGGCAGGGGACGGGTAATAAGGGAAAAGAAAAAAATGTGAGAGAATGAAAAGATGGAAATAAAGTGGTTGTAGATGGGCAGGGGAGGAGGGGGTAAAGGGAGGGCAGGGACAAGGGGAAAAAATGAGAACCAAGACTTGTCATGTAGAGGTACAAGATCCCAACAATGAATGTAACTGTACTGTATCCCTAAAATGTACCAATAAACTCAATTAAAGCTGAAAAAAAAAGATCCTGGTTACCTGGTTATCAACTTTGATTTATATTCCAAATGTATTATTAGAAAAAATTTTAATAAACTTTCATATTCTGAAAACAAAACTAAAATTGCTCCAGCTTAATGCCTGAGGACAATTTCTAGGTGGCAAAATGAGACAAATAATTCAGTAGTCTCATTGAGTTACAGAGATTGAAGTTTATAGAGTAAGGTCCCCACAGTTTACATGGCAGTGTACTAGATAGAAAGATATTGCATAGAGAGGTCCCAATAACCTGAAATGAGTAACAAACAAAATGTACTGAATCTAGAAAGATTCAAAGCAAAGCAGTACACCCAAATAATTATGAGAGCTCACATTTGGCTGGCAATATTTCATGGCATAACTCAGCTAGAACACAGACCCTGTAATACTTAGGGCACTCACCCACAGAAAGGTCACACCTTAGTGCTAATGTTAAATTAATACCAGAATAAATATTACTCTGGACCCATTCTAACACTACTTGCAATCACACCTCAAAAGGATGAAACTACAACAGAACAAAGCCTAATGTAAATTAAGGGACTATAACAATTATCCAGCAACCAAGTAAGAAATGGGGAAAAAAAACCCTGAAGAATATATTCTACTACCATGAAAAAGTAATCAACAGAAACAGACTCATACATGGCAGATTTAGGAGACAAGAGTACTGAAACAGCTACTAAAAATATGTACACAATGTTCAGGAAGGTACAGGAATACATGAACACAATGAAAAGAAAAAAATATTTTTACAGACTCCAAGAGAATTTCTGGAGATAAAAACAAAATATTAGAAATAATGAACTATATATGAGACACTAAAAATATCAGTAAACCTAAAGACATAGCCAGAAGATCCCACCCAAATCCATCAGAAGACTCTTAGAATAACCTAATTCAGTAATGTAGCAGATACAAAATTAACACACACACACACAAACACACACACACACACACACACACAAAACAACAGTATTCTTGTACATTAATAATGAACCCACTGAGAAAAAAATTAGGGAAAAATACCATTCACAATACCACCAAGAAAATTTAAATACTTAGACATTAAGTAGAAATCAAGAAAGTAAAAGATGCCTAAAATGAAAACCATAGTACTCTGAAAAAGATAACTGAAGAGGACATCAGAAAATGGAAAGATATCCTCTGTTCCTGGATAGATAGAACCAATACAGTCAAAACTGTCATACTTCCAAAACTGATACACAGATTTAATACAATCCCAATTAAAATACCAACATTCTTCACAGAACTAGAGAGAACAATCCTAAGATTCCTACAGAACCACAAGAAACTTAGAATAGCAAAAACATATCTCAGGTAAAAAGAGCAAAGCAGGTGGTATCATGATTCCAGGTCTGAAGGTATATTACACAAAGCTACTATAATTACAAACAGCATGTATCCAAGTGGGGTAGTGCATGCCTGTGATCTCAGCATTTGCAAGGCTAAGGCAGGAGGATCGTTGTAAGTTCAAGGCCAGCAAGGACTACATAGTGAGTTCAAGCCAGCCTTAACTACATAACAAGACACTGTCTCCAAAAAAACCAAAAAGAAGAAGAAGAAAAAAAAAAACCCAGTATAGTAACAGCAGAAAAACAGACATGAGAAGCTGGGCATGGTGGCACATGCCTGTAATCCCAGCACTTGGGAGGCTGAGGCAGGAGGATCATTGTGAGTTCGAGACCAGTTTGGGCTACATAGTGAGTTTCAGTCAGTTGCAACTACATAATGAGACCCTGTCTCAAAAAAAAAAAGGAACCAGACATGAGGCTCAATGAAACACAAAAGAGGATGTAAAAATAACCCCAAGTAGGGCCACCTCAGTGGTTCTACTGCCTGCCTCACTAGCACAAGATCCTGAGTTCGATCCCCATTACCAAAAAATAAAAAAAAAATTTTTTTTAAATAACCCCAAGTAGATTCAACCATATTTTTTGAGACAGGGCCCAAAAACATACACGGAAGGGAGGAAAGATAGTCTCTTTAATAAATGGCTATGGTAAAACTGACTATCCACATATATAAAATTGAAAATAGACCCTTATTTCTTATCATGTAATACAATAAAATCAAAATGGATTATAGAATCAAATGTTAAACCAGAAACACTTAAAACTGCTGGAAAACAAAAACAAAATAAAATTCTTGAAGTTATAAGTTCAGCAAGGGCTTTCTGAACAGACCCCAGTTGCACAGGAAATAGTTCCGAGAATCAACAAATGGGATATCAGATTAAAAATTATCTATACAACAAAAGAATCAAGAGTACCAGAGTGAAAAGACAACCTACACAATGGTAAAAACTTTGTCAAGCGATTCCTCAGAGGACATATATCTAGAATATAAAAAGAACTAAAAAAAAAAAACTTCCCAAAATAAAAGAACCAATCAAAAAATGGGCAAGCAAAATGAATCAACATTTCACAGAAGACATATAAATGTTTAATAAATACATGAAGAAATGTTCAACATCTCTGGTCATTAGAAAAATACAAATTAAAACACCATGGAGATTTCATCTTAGCCCAGAAAGCATGAATATCATTAGGAAATCAAATAATCATAAATTATGAAGAGGCTGCAAGGGAAAAAGGAACACTTCTACACTGTTGGTAGGAAGGGAAACTAGTACTATCACTATAGAAATCAGTTTAAAGATTCCTCAAAAAACAAACTAGAAATTCCATTTGACATAACTATTCTCCTAGGTATCCTCCCAAAAGAATTAAACATGTCACATTATAGTAATACATGCACACCCATGTTTATAACAGCTAATCTTGGAAACAGCCTAAATGTCTGTTCACAGAAAAATGGATAAAGAAAATGTAGTATTTACATCACAATCAGAAAAGCTGCTGAACATCACTAGTCACTGGAGAAATGCAAATTAAAACTACACTGTTATCACGTTCTGTTAGAATGGCTAAAACTGCAAAGATTAATATACCAAGTTTTGTCAAGAATATGCAGTAAATGAGATAGATGTGGTAATGCACACTTGTAATACTAGCATTCAGGCAGCTGAAGCAGGAAAATTGCTAGTTCCCAACCAGTCTAGGCTACATAACAAGTTGAAGGCCAACACAGTCTATATGGCAAGACTTTGCTTATAAATTGAAGGCCAACATGGACTATGTAGCAAAACTATTTCAAATCAACAAAATGAAAATAAATACATAAAAAGAATATGGAACAAACAGAACACTTAAGAGATTGTTGTGTTGAAGGAATACAAAATAGTACAATTATTTTGGAAAATAGTTGGGAAATTTCTTGTCAAGTGAAACACACATTTACTATATAACCCAACAATCTTACTCCTGCAAAGCTGCCCCAAAATAGAAAACATATTTACACACAAAGGCTTATGTGCAATTATTGTAGAAAGTTAATTCATGATAGCCAAACAGTAACAATAACCCAAATGTTCACCAATTAGTGAACAGGTAAACAAACTGTGGTAAAGCCACACAGTGGAATACTACTCAGAAATAAAAGTAATTAATAATAAACTTGTTAGCCAGTTGTAGTTGCACACATCTATAATCCCAACATTCAGGAGGCTGAGGGAGAAAGACCACAAGGGGTCAGAGGACAGCCGGGAATACATAGTGAGTTCAAGGCCAATCTGGAATACATAGTGAGATCCTGTCTCAAAAAAACAAAACAAGACACAATGGTTTATATCTAGATGTCCGCCTAAAGTCTCATGGGATCATAAGCAGGATCTTTGGAAGGTGACTGGACAATAGGAGCATTATAGCTGGTTTGCTGATAGGAGGTAGGGGCTGGTCAGAAAAGGAGGGTCACTGTGGGCATAGCCTTGAAGGTTTTCTCTCCCTTCCCACTGCTCCTTGACTCTGCTTCCTGTCCACCATGTCCCTCTGGTGGCTCATTCCTGCTTTAGAGTCAGCCAACTGTGGAATGAAATGTAAGCCAAAATAAACTTCTCCCTTAAATTGCAGATGTCAGGCATTTTGTACCAGCAACACGAAAGTAACTAAGACAAAAACCTCAAAATATGGATAATTTCAGAAGCATTAAATGAAATAAGCCAGACACAAGAAGCTACCTTCAAATGATTCCATTTATAGGAAATTCTAGAAAAGAATCTAGAGTCAGAGAGTGCATCAGTGGTCACCAGCAGCTACAGCAATGAAACTGTACTGTACATAACTATGGAATAGATACACGATTACATACATCTGTCAAAATCCAGTCAACTGCACAGTTTAAACTGGTAAATTTTATTATCTTTAAATTTAAACATAATAGTTTTTTATACCAGAGAAACTATTCGGTATTTACACATGTGTGACTTAGTTATTTCACTTAGGAGTATATCCTCAATATGCATCCATTTTCCTATGAATGACTCTAATTTCTTATTCTTCGTGGCCGAGTAGTATTCCATTGTATAGAAAAACCACATCTTCTTTATTCAGACTCCAACTGATGGGCAAATGCGCTGTTTCCAAGTTCTAGTTATTATAAACTGTGCCACTATAAACATGCGTGCGCACGTAACACTGTGGTATAATTGACAATGTGAAATAGGAAGAAAAGGGCTAAAGATGTAGGGGAACTGGGAAGGATGAGGGAAAAGAAACAAAGGAAAAGGAAAAAAATGAGAAAATGAAAAAATGGAAATAAAGTATCTGTAAATAGGGAAGGGAGGAGGGGGTAAAGGGAAGGCAGGGGTCAGGAGAAAAAATGAGAACCAAAACCTGTCATGTAAAGGTACAAGATCCCAATGATGAATGTAACTGTGCTGTATATCTAAAATGTACCAATAAACTTAATGAGAAAAAAAAATTTAAACATAATAAAAATATTTAAAAATAAAACCCAAAACCTAAGAATGCAAATGTACAAAAATATTTCCTCTTATTTAATGAAACAGATATTTTTATGTAAATAACCCCTACTCAAATATTTATTCACACACTAATAATGCAGAAAAGTCAAACACTCTGAACAGGAGGTCATTCCTAATACAAAGTCTTTAAAAGATACATTGTTTTCAATTCCATATCAACATCTTTAACCCTCCTGACTTCAAAATTTCTCCTGTATCTTATCAATTTTTATTTTTTGTATTTTAAGTACTAAATTGCAGAAATTAACCAACATTTTCAATTCTGAAAATATAAGCCAAATTAATTTTTTGTTACTTTAACCAAAAGGGTTCTAAAGAAATACATGAATAATGTCATTAATGAATAATCTGTTACCTTTAAAATACCCTAAGATGGTAACAATTAGAAATGTTTGGCAAACAGTGTCTCCAGTTTGCCAGCATGAATTTATGTATAGAACAGAGGCCAGATTAGAAACTTTTATAATGTTGTGTAACACATTCACAACAAGGCCATAATTCGCTATGCCTTGCCACTGTATGGGGCATGACTGTCCAATCAGATGGCACAGGACAGTCTCATTAGGTGGTACAAGTCAGCAAGAATATGTTAAATATTTAAAGATGTAACAGTTGGAGATTTAGCTCAGTAATGTCGCCACCTGCCTCACAAGCTCAAGGTCCCAAGTTCGATCCCCAGTACCATAAAAATATATATATATTTAAATATGTAACATTAGATGTGCTACAAATCTGTTCCTTATATCTACTTTTAGATATTCTACCTTTCCTGAGGATGGAGGAGAAGGACTAGCACAAGGACTTGGATAACTACTGCTATCTGTAGATTTTACAGAAGATTGATCTGATCGGTCGTCCGTGCTTCGTTTAGGATGTAAAATTCCTCTATCTTTGTATTTCTGAGGAGGATGTAATGCCGTAGATGGAGATTTCATTAATACTCTTGAACAAGACGGAAAAAATAAATAAATATCAATTATTTGTAAGTTTAGAATACAAAGCAGATATTATTTCAATCCACAGTGCCAATGATATTATGATGTATGGCATAGTATTTTAAAAAGAAAACTCAATTCTCCTAGTATATTTACAAATTAAGAACCAGGTGTAATGGCCCATGTCTATGATCTCAGTACACTGGGAGTCTGAGGCAGGAAGATCACAGGTTGAAGTCCAGTGTGAGCAACTTATGGACTTAGTGAGAACCAATCAAAAAATAAAAAGTAAAAATGGGTCATGAAAATAGTTTAATGCAAAATTCCTGAAGTTAACCCCAGCACTGAAAAAAAATTTTTTTTACTAAAAAATATACCTTTTCTTTTGTGTCACTTAGTATGTAAAATCCAATCAAAAGAAGGTTCTAAAAAGACTATCTTTTCCTTTAAAAACAATAAGCATCACTTATATTTCTATTAATTCTATTTTCAGTTTTTCAACTATGGAATTTTTTATTTAGCAGTACAAGGGGTTGAACTAGGGTCTTCCCACGAGCCACATCTCTAGCCCATTTGTTTGTTTCTTTTGAGACAGGGTCTTGCTAATTTGCCCAGACAGAGCTCAAATTTAAATCCTTCTACCACAGCCATCCAAACTGCTATAATTACAGGCAACTGCCACCATGGCAGGCTGAAATCATATTCTTATTAAAGAGACTTCTAATATTGTCCAAACTAGTCTCACAGGTAAGAATATTAACTTTGTTATGAATTCCAATGTGATTAAAAAGCTTTTAACTGACACAAAATAATTCAAAATGCTTTCATGACCAGAAATATTTTTGACTCATGGTCAATGATTCATATAAACATTACTACTAAAATGTATTACTTATATAAATAATTCACAGTAAGCACTCTCTTAATCATATAACAACACATCTAATTGCAAAATACTAGGAAAAAAATAATTTGGCTAAACTGTAGTAGGAATTTTGCCACATGGCAATAAATGTGTGCCTCCTTCACAAAAATGTAAATTCTGTGCAAGAAAAGATCTTACTATTTTGTTCACGACTATACCTCTCACAGTAAATCCAGGCACTTGATGTGCCACAAATGAATGAAAGTACTTCTGTAAGAATATTAGTCAGTATACCAATAGTACACAAGGTTTGTGGGAAAGTGTTTCTTTAAACACAGCCATAGTCAGTTTTTCTCAGTGCACATATTGAGGAAATATGTCACTCGACATGTACCAAGTAAAATATATAATTTTAAAATTTGCTAAGAGATCTTAAATTTTAAGTCCAAAATGAAACATTTTCAGTTTTCCTTGAATGGCCTAATTCATAAATATGTACCAGTATCTTTTAAGTATTAAGATAGTATGAAAGATTTTAAATATATTTTATAAATAAAAAACTTATTATCATGTTTTTATGCATCCTATATCATGAGAAAGTAATTATTAAATAGCATGCATAATTTTCCTGAAAAAAAACCTCTTCCATTTATAATTTACCGTTCTGCAGTAGTAGACTCATCAGAAAATTCACATTCTGCTGCAGTTTTCCTACTATTATTTTCCCTCCAAGATGATGCCAAAGGAAGTTCTTCTGAAGACATGGGTCTTGGCCTTTGGCCAATCCCAGATGGCTGTTGTAAACCTGCAGACTGTTCTTCAGTGCTTAAAACAGCTATAATTGCTCTTATGGTAGCTTCATCACCTTGAGACCAAGGTTTAGATGGAGCTCTCATTCGACGTAAAAATAAGCTGTGCCACTTCTGTCTGAGTTGCAGCAATAAACTGGCTGCCTATTCAAATAGATAAAATAAAACATATATTAGATATGTAAAACATTATTTATCAGTTAAGGTCTACAACTTTTTCAAAGAACACAGTTTACATTTAATATAATTTATTACTATTTTCATTTTATGAATGAAATTTCTTATTGATCATATTCCAGGCACCAGAGACAAAAATCAAAGAAACAGTCTCAATAAGGCAGTCAACACTGATTGCGTGAATGTGATTAATACTGAAAAAGCAGCAGCAAGCTAAATAAACAAAAATACATTTAGTAGTTACATTCAAATTGTAGCACCTGCAAAGCATCCGAATGATGATGATGTACAGAAGGCACCTGGATTCACAGAAAGGCCTATGCCAAATATAAAAACTTGGAAGTCATGAGTGCATAACTAAAGCTACAAATACAGGTCAGGTTTCCAGGAATTGTGCAGAGAGAGAGAGAGAGAGAGAGAGAGAGAGAGAAGAAGAGAGCAAGGCACAGAGAATAAGTGAGTTTAAAACTAAAAGCACAAAGAGTTTGTGAAATAACCTAAAAAGGAATGAATACTGAAGAAGAATTAAAAAGAATTAATGTCAAAGTAACTAATGACAAAGAAGAGGAGGCAGGAGAGTGGAGAAAAAAATAGAGAAGGGCAGAATTACTAAAAAGAGGTACTAGAAAGAGTCAAGTATTAGGCAGAGGCAATCAAGAATACACTGGTTTTGATAAGTGGAACTGTGGAGGACACAGATGACTGTAACCCAGACAATTTAGTGAAGTAAAAGGTTGGTGGGAATAGAAAAAAGACTGCAGAAGGCTGGAGTGATGAATGAATGTGTGATTTTAAAAAAGTTAAATCTAGCCAATGCTGACTACTGACACCTTAGATCTTCCCCTCTCTCCATGAATACAAAATGATTTTTTTGAAGCATAATGGAATTAAGGGAAGACTTTGTCAAGAAATTTTTTTTTAATTTGAAAAAAATCTTTACCCTTTCCAGTTAAAAAGTATATGAAAAAAAAATAAAATGAACTCATACATTCTTCTCAAAAACAGAATTACCCAAAATAAAGTTATCATGTATCCAAATACTCAAGATTTTTTATATGTGCAAAAATAATCATATATTACTGCTATCATTGGAATTTTTGTCTACTCTAAAAATTCATGTTGACTCAATCCCGCATGGAACAATATTGGGAGGTGTTACCTTGGGAGATTGGAATTACAAGCCCTGACAAAAGGGCTGCATGGAAGGAGTTCATTACTCTTATACTTCTGCCTTGTGAGGACAAAGCATTCATTCCCTGCAAAGGACACAGGGCTCAAGATGCCATCTTAAAAGAAGAAAACAGTCCTCACCAGCTCTTAACCTTGGAATTCTCAGCCTCTAGAACTGTGAGTCTGTGGCATTCTGTTACAGCAGCACAAATGGACTAAAACAACAATCACCCATTAAGTACTGAACCACACCTAGGTTTTTCACATCTCCTACTAGAAAAAAAGAAATCAATATAGCAGAACATGTATGAGGGTCTTATGAAAACTGAAAAAAAAAACCTGTATTATCCAATATAAAGGCTCAGTACTGAAGATAAAAATTTTATCAAACCGAATTTTAAAAATTTGCAAGTGTCTTCAATTACACTGCCCTGGGGCCTCAATGTTCTGAAATGATTCAAAACACTTACCTGTCATGATCATTTTGACTTTAGGGAAGAGCCAGAAGTTGCTTAGTGCCAAATCCAGTGAGTAAGATGGATGAAGACACACTGCAATGCTTTTGAGTCTGCCTTTCCATTGGATAGCACTAGGCAACAACACTTATTGTATTTATGGTCATACTGCATAAAGACACTCATAAAAGAATTTGCACAACTGCTTCAGGGAGCGGAAAGAATGATAAGTATGATCAAAGCAAGGATGATTAATGGCAATGTGTATTTTACTTTAACAAATTTTTAATTTGAATGTTCACCTATGTTTTGATCATCCCTTCTATTTCTTATTAAAAAGAAACTCACCTCTGGCTCTAGTTTAAAGTTAAGCCACTCATCAAGCTTCAAAGCCGCCAAATTAGCAGTAGTTCTGTCCTCCATTTCACTGTCACTACTGTCATTGGGAATGCCATCCACTGTTCCAACAGATTTTGAAAGAATAAATCACTTTTATCATCTTATACTGCAGCAAAACAGTAAGCAAATAAGATACTCTTTGATCACAAACCCTCCAGACACACTAACAATTTGTGTGAAGTTCTCCAAATATTTCAGATCATTACCAATATTTAAAAGGAGAAAACTAATACATTTTAAAGACTACAATCTCTAATTACAATACAACCAAACAAGAACAAGAATTAAAAACAGAAACAACTGAATGAAATAGAAACTTAGAATACAAAGAAAGGTAGGAGAACCTATAGAGAATGCTCACAACACTTACATAAATTCACAGGTTTTAACTTGAAAAACTACACATCTTAGAAAAATAGTGTAAAACCCAAAGAATAAGAGAAGATGAAAACAAAAAACTGATGAATAAGAGATAAAATGGTAATAACAGTTAATCTAGTTCTTTGAAAAGATTAAAGGGATAATCCTCTGTAAACAAAGAAAGAAGCAAACATAAATTCACCAACAAAATCAACTGAGATAAAATTGTAAGTCTAAAATGTCTTACAAGATTAAGGCACACTAAAAGACATGATGCACAATTACAGAATACAATTGAAATCTTCAAATTTATTATATTCTTTAAAAAAATTACTAAAATCAGAAGAAAAAGAAGTGGAAAAACTCAAACCTATTTAAGGAAATAATAAAATATATCCTTAAAGAAACCAACAAATCCAGGATACCTAGTCTCTGAAACTTACAAGGAACCAAATAATAACCAATGTATTTAATATGACAAATCTGAACCTAACCCTAAAATTTTATAACACCTAAAATCTACAGATATCTGAATGCATACAAGCACATACTACACAAACAGCTTCAACAATATAGTTGCAATAGTATTAAAAATCCTATTAAAACTATTAAAACAAATATATATTTATATTACAAATATTATAAACATTATAAATCCTATTTATATTATTATTAGAACTATTAAAACAAAATTAACATAATCAATAATACAACTAGAATCTAAACCTTTACAATTCCATAAGACAAAGTGGACTATTTAATACAGTTTCCCAAAGTATGGAAAAGTGAGGAAATAAAAGTTTTGTAAAAATTTTTTATTAATCTTCAGGTAATAAAACTTCATAAACAGAAAAATCTAATGGCTTTATGAATTAATGAAGTAATGAGATTTTTTAAAAATATGTTAGTCTGTCACAATATCTACATTAAGCAAGATCACCAGATAGCAAGCACAGCAAACCCATTTAGCATAAAAAATTAAAAATCAAAAATTCTTGGGCCAGGGATTTAACTCAGTGGTGCCATCACCTGCCTTCCAAGCACAAGGTCCCAAGTTCGATCCCCAATACAAAAAAAAAAAAAAAAAATCCAAAAAACAAAAATTCTTCTAAAACGTCCATTCTTTGTAAGCATTTCAAGAAACAAAGACACAGCAAACTAAAGACAAAGTATGAATAAATAAAATACACTAAACCTCCTGGAAGCAAACACCAAAATCCCAAAAGTATTATTGCTTTCAGAAAGGAGTACAAGATGATTATTGAAAACGTACTTTTAACAAGGGTACAATAATCAAAGAAAAATTTAACAGTAGAAAGGCAGCAAAGAGTTACAGGCAGACCTTCCATTGACAGACACGGAAAGTAGTAATAAACAAAAATACTAAACAAAAAGATACAATGTAAATGTGTTTTACGTATATTTATTCCTTACACAAAAAAGTAAAAAATAGATACACAGAAAGCTTAAAAGTGCCAAATTTAATATGCAATCAGGAAAGCTTTCTAGAAAAGATATACAAGGATTATGTTAAAAATGACACAAGGAGAAAACTCTCAGAAATACAGCCACATTTAAACCATTTCAATCTGGTCCAGAAAAATGAATTCTAAAAATCAAACTACAGAAAACAATACTTGTCACATGTCCATAGAGGAATGAGACTTTCTCAGCTTTGAAAGAGAACAGTATAAGAAAAGTTATTCAATTTCAATATACAGTAATCAAAGCACAATTCAAAATATGAAAGATGAGATTGCATTAAATATGACAGAAAAAAAGGGCAATGTTCTTAAAAATCTTAAGCTACTGTTCAAATTTTTAAGAAAATCAACAGTATACAATTAAACAAATGGGCAAAAGATGAAATAAGCAACACCACTAAAGGAAAATAAGCTAATGCATGGAGAATTATTTCTTTTTGACAAGAAAAGAATTAAAAGTGCAAATGACAGAAATCTTCCCTTATGTTTTAAATAATAAATTTAATTTTTAATACTAACAACAAATGATAGTATAATTACAAGAAAATTCACTCTTGTTGGCTCTACTAATATGGGTGGGTATATATGAAAAATAATAAATAATATACATATATCTTAATCAAATAAGAAATTTCAACCCAAGGAAAATATTAAATGAACGAAAGAATACACAGATGACGATGTCTCCACCTTATCTACACATCTCATTACTTACCTACCACGCTATTCCTATTCTCTTCATAAAAACTCTTGCCCCATCCCTCCACTGAGAGTGCCGTTATCAAGGTCATCAATGACTACCGTATTACCAAATACAAGTTACAATTTTCAGTTTATGACTTTCTTGACTTCTCAAAGTAACAGTTAACAGAGCTTATCTCTCCTTTTTTGAGACATATTTATCTTCAACACTAGACCACTCTTTCTCTCTTTACTCTGATTCTTTTTTTTTTTTTTTTGTTTTTTTTTTTTTTTTTTTCTTTTTTTTTTTGGTATTGGGGATCAAACTCGGGTCCTTGCGCTTGCGAAGCAGGCCACCGAACCGCTGAGCTAAATCCCTGGCCCTATACATTCTCTTTAGGAAAGCCATTCTCATGGTTTTAAATATCACTTACAACCTCCCTAATGACTCAACTTTTTGTCCAGGCCTTTTCTCTGGAATGCATATCAAACTGCCTTGTAAAAAAACTTCATGGAGGATGTCTTGCCCATATCAAACTTAACCTAACTAAGCAGAATTCTTGACTTTTCTCTTAGAAAACCTGCTTCTCCCATCTTTCTGTATCTCACATATGTGGCAAAAATATTTAACAAGTTACTTGAGCCCAAAAGCTGAGCCATAATTGACTCCTCCCTTTCCATTACCTGTTATATTCAATCCACCAGTTACTAGCACCTTCAAAATAATTTTGAATGTACTTTTCTTCATATTGGTTGCCACCATCCTTTATCTAAGCTATCATGTCTTAAGACCACTTTAAAAAAATCTCCTGTGTCTACTCTCCCATTCTCATCCCTTAAAACCCATACACTAAGACAAAATGACCTTTTCAAATGAAAATCACATCATGTGACTCGATCCGTCACTTGAAATCTTTTCATAGCTTTCCCTGAACTGGCTATGGCCTCCAAATCCTTAGATTTTTTTTAACTGTAACTCACTGCTCTCCACCAGTGATGAAAGGGTACCAGTCACACACCCTTTCTGTCAGTTTGCAGATCATTCCAGGGTATAAAGTCTTGGAGCTTTCCACTTCCTCTACATGTGGGACATTTCTGCTTCTTTGCAGAGCAACAAGCTGCTTCTCCTACTATAGGTTTCAGTTTAAGTCTTACTTCTCAATTTGTCTAGGGTTTCTAAAGTACATTACTTCTAAAGGAGTCATCTATTTCCCTGATAACGATTAGCTATTTATTTACTATTATCAAGAGTGTGTAAAGTGCCAGAGACAGAAGTATGTTGTTTCTATTACTTCTTCAATGCTTAGCACAGCATCTGATAAATATTTACTAATTAGCTAAAAATTCAAAACCATCAAGTGTAAAAGAACATTTTAAATGCATTACATCACTTTGATGTGACAGAATACTGTAGAGCAACTAAAATATTTAACATGATTTAAATAATCAGAATAATGAAGACAGCAGAAAAAAAAATCAGCATAGAAAAAATTATGTAAACAAGTACAAAAATATAATATTAAAAAGTTCATTATTAGTGACTATTATCCTTTTTAAAAATTACCTTTACTTATGTTAAATTATCATCTGAATTCAACTAGAAAACAAACTTCTATGAGCAAGATTTAGAAATGTACTAATTAATGTCAAGTTACCTTAGAAATTAATTTCAAGAACAGTGGTATTATTTACTATTTCTTGTCTTACATCAAAGTAAACTGCTATAACAAAAATTTCACAACTATTATTTAGGTTTAGTAAAACAAAATATTTCCTTTCAGATTTTTATTTCCTTTGTAATACATTTACCTCTAAAGGACGAAGGTTCCTGAAGAGCATTACTTGGCAACCTGGCGGGCCCACAGAACACCAAAACAGTAACAGGTGTCACTGCTGAACAACATCTAATATTAGCTATTCTATATGCTCTGGTCATCTCATCATAAATAAGCCAATCAGTGGGCAGTGCCTGGATTGCTGCAGCTTGACCATTGGCTGGAGGAATCTGTTAGGAAAATAAAATTTTAAATTGTTAATTGTATTTATCATGTAACATTTTGGGAATACATTTAAAATGTAAAAAGTTCCTTGAAAAATAGATGGCATATGATAGTGCCAAGCTCAAGTAGTATGTATAAAAATCTTTATTACTCTTCCAAAGTTACCTCTTCCACTCTAAGATTCAATAAAATGCTCCAATTTGTAAATATATATATATAAACATTTCTTAAAGCAGGTAGGTATTTAAAGTATTTTTCATTGATCATCAACTACCTAAATGAGCTTTATCTCAATGCCTAAGAACATAAAAATATTTTACCTTTTTGTATTGAGGCTGACTGAGAACTGAAGTGGGATGAAATCGTACTTTTTTCTCCTTTGGTCCTGTCAATGCTACATTCTCTCTGTCCACATGGACTAAATTGGGATACATGCCTGCCACCAATGCAGCTTTAACAACAGCCCAGTTCTCAGAGTTTGTGTTAACATCTCGAATGTCTCCGCCTCCTCTTGCTCTAACAAAACCTAGAGAATGGAAAGGGGAGGGAAGAAGGCAGGACAAGGGAGAGGGGTAATGAGGGACAGAGAAGAGATCAAAATATGTTATATGCATCCATAAATATGCCAATACCCACTATTCTGTATAATATGAACACACACACACACACACACACACAAAAACCTCTGGAGAGGAAGAATATTTTTTCTATTATACAAAAGATACTTTAAATTTTGTGTGTTTTTTATTAAAAAAATGTATGGCCCACATAAGTTTAATGATAACCAAATTCTACAATTAACAGTATATGTCCTGGAAAGTCTAAACTACAGAACCAATATAAGAAAAATTTTAAATCTACACAGGAAAGATGAAGTATAGTATTTATTGAGGGCCTAGATTTTTTTTTTAATGCACATTCTTAAAATCAGCTATCAGAAACATGCTATGTTCACAAATGGAAACTCAAATCATTCTTCTAATTACAATTAATAATGCGGTGGTTATGAAAGTCTAAAAGTCAAGTAAATACAGTATAACATTTTCTGTTTGAATTTCAAAACCTTTTCTTATTTCCCCATATATGAGATAATTCTAAATCCTCTAGTTTTTCCCTCATTTTATTACTTTGGCACTTTAATCCATGAATCAAGCTCCAGTACTTTTAACAATCATAGTCATCACTTCGATGTTATTACAATACTTCAAAAATAGAGGAAGGGGGAAGGGAAAGGAGGAAGGGGCAAGAGAAATAGCTGCAGAGAAGAAGAGGAAGGAGAGGGAAGAAGTGGAAAGGGGAGCAAAAGCAGAGTGAAAAAGGAGAAGGAAAACAAAAATATTCAAAGAATTTTAAAAGGAAAATGCAATACTAAACCCCCTTAAAAAAATAACAAATGCCTTCAGATTACCGATGTTTTAGTCTCAAAAATATAAAAAGCAGCATTTAAACAATCTATTTAATTTTTATAATTTCTAGAGCTAAAATAATTGTTAATGGTGATTAAAATATAAATACAAGATCTAAATTGCTCTGTAAACAAATGTTATAAATATTTCATTGCAAACAGCATCAAAAGGGTTTAGCTTCAGCTCATATATTTCTCAACTACAGCTTCTAGAGCATCATTTTTTTCAACAAGTAAAAATTGATATATGTAGAAGCCTATAAATCAGTTCAGGAATATAAGATACATAACATGGTAATATAAAAATAATAGACACTGACATCATTAACATTAGAAATATTACAGATAGAACAATTTAAATTGCTTCTTTGGAAGAAGACTTTACCTGATGCTCTAAGCTGACCAAGCAACTGTGTTCTCATGCCTATAATTATTTCCATGGCAGCTTGTGAAAGAAAATTCTTTTCACAAAAGGCTCGCTCCCACCCATCACTTCGTGCTTTCTGCCATGCCTATAAAAACAGAATTACAAACAAGACATATTTACCAATCACTTTTTGATGAGGCAACAAAGTAAATGAAAACCACTATATTCAATTCAGGTCAGGTCAATTCTTTTTTTTTTGGTTTGTGAGACAGGGTCTCACTATGTAGTTCAGACTGACCTGGAGCTCACTATGTAGCCCAGGCTGGTCTCAAACTCACAGCGATCCTCCTGCCTCAGCCTTCTGAGTGTCGGGATTACAGGCGTGCACCAAGGTCAATTCTTTGTAGAGTTCAGACTGACCTGGAGCTCACTATGTAGCCCAGGCTGGTCTCAAACTCACAGCGATCCTCCTGCCTCAGCCTTCTGAGTGTCGGGATTACAGGCGTGCACCAAGGTCAATTCTTATTTTAATTATTCTATAAAATATAAGACTATAATGAAATAAAATGTATCAGTTAACTTATACTCCAATTGCTATGAGAGTCAATGTTTATAAGAGGTCAACGTGAACTAAGTATCAAGTAATCTAAATGACCAATACTTAAAGAATATTCACCTTCATAGATGCATTTGTTAGTTTTATTCCACTAAAGTGTGAAAGGTTTTAAAGTAAGTCACTGACACTTTTGTATCTAAGCAGCCACTCTGTGGTTCTCCAAAAATAAGGGGCTGCACATCAATCCCTTAAACTGAGAATGAAAAGTGGGATTTCTAGAAATAATATACATATTAAAAAGCTACTCTTTGAAAATGAGTTTTCTTTCTTTAGAATATAACTAAAAGACCAAAACAATAATTTATCCTGTCTGCTTCTGTAGGAGCGAGGAAAAACAAACAAAAAACAGAACATTTGCTCCAATTTTTCCTCTATCATTAAACTGATCTATATAATACACTCCACTAAAAATAATGAGTCACCCATTTGTAATACATCTAGAAGAGTTCACAATTAAATTTATGTCTGTGCTTGAAAAATCCTATATGCCTGAAATATAGGACTTATACTTTCTGCATAAACAAAGTAAAAAAATTTTTTTAAGTCACAATTTATATTCAAGAGAATTTAAGGATACAAAGATGTTTACATTTTCAAGAAATAACATGTCTATATATTTGAATTTCTAAGTTATATTTTCCTTTCTCTTTCTCAGAGGTTCACTTCCCTTGTATTTTCTTTCCTCAATTTATATTATCTTAAAAAGTTTTAAATAATTTTTGAATTTTTGCTTTATAAAATTAAGTTCTTGACACAGTGTCTTGAACAAGAAAAAGATGTACTTTTTTAAAAATTCAGGGGCTGGGGATTTAGCTCAGTGGTTCTGCTGCCTGCCTCACAAGCGTCAAGGACCTGAGTTCGATCTCCAGTACAAAACAAAAAAAAAATTTAATTAAGTCGAAATTAAATGTAGTAAAATTTTTTTCTAAACTAAATATATATACATACATATATTCCTATAAGGAGAAAATGAGGGAAAAAGCAAAATAAAGAAAAACTGATAATTTTAACATTAACAGCAAAAAGATATTTTTCTGGACTATTAATAAAATGTAACTTCACAAATAAAATTAATGGAATTTTTATTATTGCTTGTTTATTTTAAACTGTTACACTTGCCCCAGAAACCTGTTTAACACAACATCTCCAGAAACAAATGACAGTAATGGTACCTGGAATGCTCTGAGAAGTGCCATATGGTCACTGAATGTTCCTGCAGTGAAACGCTTCCTACAAAGCATAGCAGCACGTTTTTGAGAGGCCTGAGTAGGCAGTACAAAAGGGTCTCGATAAGCTAGTGTGCAGGCAATTGTAAGGATGGGATCCAGACACTTTAAAACAACAGCACATAGCACCATTTTACCAAGATGTGGTTCTACTGGTAGGTCAGCCAAATGATATCCAAGCTCAGAGAGATCTTCCCACGCATCCATTGCATCTATTGTCTAAATCAAAGCATGGAGAACAGAATTAGACACGATCAAAAGTTGTGTTTAAAAATCCAGAAGAAGAAATACAAATTTTAGCCAGGTGTGGTGGCACATGCCTGCAAACCCAGTACTTGGAAGTGTGAGGCGAGGCTGGGCTACACAGTGAGTGCAAGGCCAGCCTGTACTACAAAGCAACCCTATCTTAACCAACAGACAAACAAAAGTTTCTTTAGTTACCATATCTCACAAATATAAGCTTTTCTTCAAATACATATATTTGAAATATATATATATAGTAACTGCTGTTTTATCTATTATTAATTATAAGAGCATTATTCAAAGTATATGATTATCTAAGACTGTTTTTCAACAGCACAAAACTAGTTAAAATATACTCATAATTTGGTTTAAATTTCAAGTCAGAAAATCAAGTAAAACAAATCTGCTAAGACACCAACCTTAAGCATCTGTACAGCATTTCTTACAATTAAAGCTGGTGGAGGTTCAGGAGCTCTCATAAGGAAATCAGCAATGGTACAATTAATTGGAGCTAACAGCTTGGTATGTAAACAAAGTTCCTGTAAGTCAAAATGGTAAATAATTTTTCAAAAATTGAAAAGAATATTAATGTTATATCTTTAAAGAAATCATGGGCATTACCGCTTCCAAACACAGTCTAGTAAAGTCTCAGATTAGAATGAAGAGCAGAGGGAACAATATCTTTCTACTAAACATGGGCTTCTACTGTGCTATGGGGTGCCAAAGATCTCAACAGATATCCTCAGTCAACCAGATGGAAATTATCAATGTTGCTTCTGGCAACATCTCCTCAGAGTTCTTACATATACAGTTAACACTCAGAATCACTATGCGAAAAGATGATTTCCTTCTATACACGTACTATTTTTCTGTAAATTTCTATTTTTCTGTAAAAGCCTATGGTAAAATGCATAGCCCTCAGAGAGACAAGTTAGGACAAAGAGCCACACGCCAGTTCACCTGCCATAAATTCTGTGTGCAATAGAGATTCCCATGTCACAGGATCTGTTCTGCCTAGCAACATGACCTCATCAAACTAGCCAATACAGCGGGCACAGTGATAACATCAAGTATTAGGGATAAATGGCTGGCCAACCCCTTTGTCTGGCAGTGCACCATTTTGTGGAAGTAAAGTTTTCCTTGCAAAAAAATTTTTCAGAAGTCTGGTTTCTTTTGTGCTGTTTATGACACCAGAAAATATATGTCCAATACCAGAAGGTAGATGGAGGCACTGGGGGGTAAGAAATCACTTGAGGTATATGGACGCCAAAAACATGATACCACATCTCTTTAATGGTTTAGAAGCCAGCATCTAAACTAATATGCTAAAGAGTCAAATTAACACCCTTCCGGTATTTTCCCTAGAAATTACACAGTACATATGATTGTTTCATGAAGTTATAAAACCTAAAGAAAAACAATAAAGGCCAGGTAATCTTATTGAATCCAGTTCCAAAGTTATCGAGATAATCTCAGCATTTCTCACTAGATTTCAGTATTATCTTTTAGACCTTAAATAATTTTCTCATTCTATTGAAAAATTTTAGGATGAATGGTATGTAGCTGAAACTCTTACAATAATATATAAAAACAATATCCTTATAAACTGTACTATAATTTAGTGAATTCTCTAAAATTTTGAAGTCTGATTTTTTATACAGAAAAAAATCTTGTTATAGGCACACAGTATCCACCATCCATAATATATAACTGTTTTATAATTGGATTGTTTTGCAAGAAATTAAAATGGCCCTTCTCTTTAACCACTAAAACATATTTTAAATTTCTACCTGTAACGGCATCCTCAAAAGTTCTGGAGTCTGAAATTCCAACATATTCTGAAATCGGAGTCTACTAAACAGGCGGAAACAAATTCCAGGTCTACATCGCCCCGCTCTTAAAAAGAAAATACAAAATTAATACTCAAACAAGGAACAAAGGCTATAGTGAATTGTAAAAGCAATATGATTTGGAAGATAGAAGAATGAACTAAAACTAAGATCAAAGCATATGAGCTTGAATTCTTATTCTCCATGAATCCTTTTAGAAGGTACTTCAATTGCCTGGAATTCACTTCACTTACTGAGATTCATAAATGACACCTACCTGATATACCTACCAGGGTTATGGTAAAAAAAAAATAAAATAAAAACAACTAAAGAGCAAAGCATGGAATAAATGTTGGGTAATTTAAATTCAATCAATTTTGATAAGCTATTAATAAGCCATTGTGCTCAAGTTATTAAAAACTGATTAGAGTCGCATAAATTATGCACTATACACCTTCACGACATTAACATTATGTCACAATCATAGAACCTGTGTAACTTTCTATGAAACATTACAGAAATATCATGAAAAGCAGTCTCTTTTAAACACACCCAGTCACTATGTCAGCTAATGGCAGGACTAAATATGTTAAATCATGGATACAGAAATATCCCCTTCTGATGAGAATCAAGACTTGATGTGTAGAGTATGTCAGCTAATGGCAGGACTAAATATGTTAAATCATGGATACAGAAATATCCCCTTCTGATGAGAATCAAGACTTGTCATGTAGAGGTACAAGATCCCAACAATGAATGTAACTGTACTGTATCCCTAAAATGTACCAATAAACTCAATTAAAGCTGAAAAAAAAAAAAGAAATATCCCCTTCTGACATTGTTGGACCATCCCTTTCTTCATCAAATACTTCCTACAATATACCTATTAGGTTTCCTACATGCCCAACTTCCTCTAACGTCTTTTCCCAGACTTTAAAAGTTAGTGTTTCTTAAAGGATAAACTGTCTCTGCTTTTCTGTATCTCCTGAGGTGATCTTAATTATGCTCCTAGTTTCAAATACTATCCATCCTTGATGTCCTTATCCTAATTATAGACCTATACCTCACAAGTCTCTTGGATTTTCCACAGTCAACTCAAATTCAACACAACCAAAAGTTAACTTTTCATCCTAAGTAAACCTTCTTTCTATTTGCACTGACAGGAGCACCAACCATCCAATTTTCTAAGATTAAAAACCTGGATAACACCCTTCATTCCACTCTATTCCTTACCTCTTCCCCCAAACAAACAATACTGCTCTCTTTAATATCTCTTGAATTAACTGTCTACTTCTCTTTATTTCTACCAGCACATCAATATGGCTACCTTCATTTTCATCTCCATATAGATGAAAGTACTAATGAAAGAGCCTTGTCCCTGACAATCCATTCTCCAAAGAGCTTAAAGAATACTATAATAATGTCATTCCTCATTTATTTTTTAAGAGAAATAAAAATAAATGGTCCTTAAAAATGTATCCCCAATTTTCAGTCTATTTTTTACTATTGTCTTCTAAACTAAATTCTACCCAAACTTGCCTGTTCTTTCTTTTCTATAGATCTCTTCTTCTTCCCCCTCTGCCTTTTAGAAATGTCTTTTCACAGCTCCTCTATATATCTGTCTCAAATTTAATCTTAACTCCCCTAGAAACATTACATAGTTATAGCACAGATCATACAGTGTTAAAATTGCTTAATATACTGAATCCCAATGTGGATTCACAAAACTTCATCCATCAGACTACAGTTTATTCACCACTATATCCCTACCACTTGCACAGTTAAAGATTTCAATAAAAACTTGCAGAAAAAAATGGCAATAAAAATTTCCACAATTTGACCCTTATTTCGGGTAACACAGTATTAACAGTACCTAATCCAGCTCAATGTTTCAAGTCACACTTTGTCATAAGAGAACAATAGAATATCAAAGTAATAATGCTTTATAGGTATTCTATGAAGTTATACAGAAATAGTGTTAAGTATTTAGTATATGAGACATTTTTGGGTTTTTTTTGTTTGTTTGTTTGCTTGTTTTTATGAATTCACAGCACTCCTCCTGCCTCACATACACCACCCCCAGTGTTGGGATTACAGGTGTGCACCACCACATGCAGCTCTGAGGCATTTTTTTAAAGTTAGTATTTGATGTTTTCTGGCCAGTTGAAATGCAACAGGAATTATAAGTAATTACTGAAAAATATACCTTTTAATCTTGCCTTTTTTAAAATGAAAATGTACACTGGAGTATAACTCAGCAGTAGTGCACTTGACTGGCATACAGAAGGCCCTAGGTTTGATCCCCAGAACTACAAATAAATAAATAAATAAAGCAAATAAAAATATTTTTAAGAAATGAAAAAGTAATCCAAGTACATAGTAAAATAAGTTACAGAACACATACACATACAGAATACAGATAAATAAATACAATGTATATATAAAATGAAATTAACTCTTCTTCCTCCAAGGGCCCCACAAATCTTTTCAGAATCAATATGCTATCATTTTCAATGTTTCTCCCAGACTCTCCCATGGATGTATCTATATATACTTATATAAATACATGAAAAAACTTTCCACACAAGAACATATACATTCCTTTTAAAAGATACTACCATTATGTGGTCATTAACATAATTTAATCATTTCACAATATACTATATTGCTTCCAAAATTTATATTATTATACACAACATTGCAAGTACACTCTTCAACATACAGCTCTGAACACAGGTACAAATATACTCAGGATAAATTGTGAGATGTGAAATCCATGATCACAGGCTGTATATGGATAAACAGTTTCAATTTGCCCTCTGAAGAAGTCCTAACAATCTATACTCTCATTAAAATAAAAAGAACGCCTCCTGGCTCATATTTTTCCCATTACATTTGGCATACTGTAAAACATTTTCACTGAACTCAATCTGATAAATAATAGCACTCCATTAATTTGCACTTATTTTGGTATATATGAGGTGGTATATATAAAGTAATATATTAATAGGGAATGCATATTCTTTATTTTGGTAAGCCAACAGTTTTTCTATATTCATTTTAATAATTTTTTTTTTAAAGAGCTTTTCTTATTTAAGGAAATTAGCACTTGGGGGCTGGGGATTTAGCTCAGTGGTTCTGCTGCCTGCCTTGCAAGCTCAAGAACCCAAGTTCAATCCCTGGTACCAAAAAAAAAAAAAAACTTAGTACTTTGTCCTATATTCCAAGTATTTATAGAATCTTTACTTATTAAGCTTCTTACATTTCAGTGTACATTATACCACACTGTCTTCAATTTTAATACAACCAAATTCAGCTTTTAAAAATGCATTAAAATGGTTCACTTCACCATTTTATAAGATAATATAAAAACGAATATTATCATTAAAACTAACGTGACAGAAGGCAGGATATATGACAAATATGCAATATATATGAAAAGTTTCCATTTTACATGAAATTGAATGAATGCACATTAAATATACATTACCTGCCTTTTCGTTGTATGGCACTTGCTTTGGAAATCCATACCATTTTTAACATTGTAACAAAATTCAGTGCATCAAAGGATTTCTGTAATATTTAAATCATCTTTATGTTAAAACATAAAATGTACTTAAAAGAAAATAGCTGAAAACTATCAACATATTTTATCATGCCAAATTTAAACTCTCATCTTGATTAAATAATTGTAACAGAGTATTAATTCTGAAAAATCCAGATACTCTGGTTAAAACACTAAGGAAAAAGAATGAAAACAAAATTAAACCCAGGGGAGCCATAAAATTTCCCCCTTCTATGCTTTGCTGAACTACCTGCTATTCATGGCAGTCAGCTCTCATGAGAAATTAAGACTGGGAAAACTGATCTATTCTCTGGAGGTCATTTTCTATCACATTTTCATTGTTATAACAGAGTGATCAAGGAAGGGCATTTTCTGAAATACTTTCCAGGAAGCTGATCCAGAAGAATAACAATCACTAAACTAATCTCATCCCATAGCCAAGAATTTTTAACTCCTACTTTACCTCCTTCTGAGATACTTAAAAGTTAGCCTATTTTGAATTTTGCAAAGGAAAATATATAAGAAAATCATTACTAACCTCATACTGTCTCAAAGAAACTAAAGTAAAAATCTGCAGAGAAATATTTTCAAAGAATAATCCTAACTCGAATATATACCTCAGTTATTTGGAGACATGGTTTCCATTATGTAAAATAACTACACAGGCTGGGTGTGGTGACACATGCCTGTCATCCTAGTACTCTAGCAGTAGAATCATAAATTCAAGCCCAGTCGGGGTAACTCAGTGATTCAGTAAGACCCTGTCTCAAAATAAAAAATAAAAGCCATGATAACGCACTTTGAAGGACGAGGCAAGGGAAATGCCACAAGTTCAAGGCCAACCTGAACTACACAGAAAACTGTCTCAAGCAGCAGCAACAATAATAATAATTTTAAAATAAAAGATAAAAAGATGGGCTGGGGATCTGGCTCAATGGTTCTGGCACCTTGCAAGCTCAAGGGCCCAAATTCGACACTCGGCTTCCCCCTCCCAAAAAGATAAAAAGATGCAGATGTTGCTCTGTGAGAAGACCCTGGGCTCAACCTCCAGTACAAATTTAACTAATTACAATAAATACATAGAGCAAATAAGTTCTCAGAATAGTTTAATTATAGAATTTTTAGAAAATGTTACTCGATTCTTGTTTTTTTTTGGTACCAGGGATTGAACTCAGGTCCTTGCGCTTGCAAGGCAGGCCACCAAACTACTGAGCTAAATCCCCGGCCCTTACTCGATTCTTAATAAAAATATTTTATTTCTGTAAAATAACTTGACCTTACAACTATGTTTAAACTATGTTTTATGTAAAAAATAATACCTAATTAGAGGAATTTCTAAAATATTCAGAATCTACTTCCATCTGCATTAGATAATTCTAGAGCAAAAAAATTTGATCTTGGCTCACTTCAGTTTATTGAAAATACTCACTACTATTCTATTACAAAAAATTACTTAATCTCTTCTTTGCAGTATCCAACTATAATACATCTGACCAAATTCTGTAATGTGTAAGATTCCTAAAAGCTACATCAAAAACATTTTCTTCAGATTAAAAATATTTGTATCTATCAATTTGATTTCTACAATATTGTTATTCTCAACAAATCAATTATTTCTATCACTTTTATTCTTTCAATGAATGGTTCTACTAAAAGGGGCGCTCACTATATAACTGCTAGGCATTTATATACTGAAAGGAAACAAATACTCCCTTTTATTTATATCAGGTATTGGAAAACTGTTTTTGCAAAGGGCCAATTGGTTAATATTTTAGGCTTTCAGAAGGTCTGTGTTGCTATCACTCAGATGCCAATATAGTGTGAAAGCAGCTATACATAGTAGGTAAAATTGATGAACCTGGTTTTTTACAAAGGCAAGTAGCAATTCTAGCTTGAATGCTGGCTACTGTCTGTTGACCACTGGTTTATGGGAGGTGGTTGTTTGGTTGGTTTACTGGTTGCAGTTTTCTTGCTCCTTTCATCAAGGTTCTCCTGCACTATGATTAATATTAGAAACTGAAGATCTAACATTGAATATGAGGGACATGGTGGTCTATTCCCACAGGTAGAAGGAAAATACAGGAAATACCCAACTGAATTTACACTGTGATGAAGTTTTCACTATAAGTAACCCATCTTTTTCTTCCTCTCTAGTATTTAATGATAGAAGCCTTTTTCCTAATTTGCTGAACTAAAATAGATTCTATATATTGAATTTAAGGTACAATATTTGAGTGAACTCAACATTTACTATGCTCAATTCACCTAGAAATAAATTTTTCCACTAAAGTGAATTTTCTTATAAAGAGTACTTGTTGAAACAGAATTCGGCCTTCTTCTTTTAAGAATACAACTTATCTACACATACCTCTTTCACTTTTCCAGAATCAATAACAAAGACAACATCATTGACTGTTATGCTGGTTTCAGCAATATTCGTGGAAAGAATCTGCAATAGGATATTATTTTATAAGTAATATGAAAACAGAATGATTACCAATGATAATTGGAAAAAAAAGTTTATGTAGCTTACTATTTTACGAACACCCGCAGGTGGGGTTTTCAATACTTTCTTTTGATCAGACGTTTGCATATTTGAATGAAGCATAAAGACCTGATATCTGTTGACAATTGAAAGAGAAATATACTGTAGTACCTGTCTGTTATTTTAAGCAACAAATATAAAACTTTAGATTTTACCTATGTGCATCATCAGCAAACCGCTTGTCATCAAACAGGATGCGATCTCTCAGACCAACAATTTCATCATATCCAGGTAGAAAAATTAATACTGCACCTTGGAGAAGAAGTTTTTTAATACTAAATCTTGTGAAGCAATCAAAAGAACTAATTATAAGAAACTATAAAATGTGTTTTCAAGTACTGATAAATTACCATGACAGTTATTTCATATATTGCTATCAATGCAATTACATAAGAATGTAGACAATCAAAATATTTGAAGAAAAGAACACATTTTGATACAGTAATTTTAGACAGCATTTATTTACCAGTATCACAGCTCTGGCAGATATTGTATAGAAGATGCATGATCAAATCCAAGTCAACTTTTTCATCATCAAAACTGTGATGATAAGCTTTCAGGAGCTCTCTCTCTTCTGCACTAAGGTCATTTCCATTTGTTTGAACCAGAGAACTTTCATCTAGGTTTCCAAATTCCAATGAAGCACTTAAAAAAAAAAAAGATCAAGTCAGTTTTCATTAAAAGGAGTAACTTTTAAAGACCTATGATTTCCATTTTGTCCTTCTTCAAATTTCCAATATGCTCTAAAGAAGGTAAGTGACAAGGAACCAGCTGCAATATAATTCATGCTTTGATTTTAAGCACCTTATTCAACATAAAATTTGACATAAGTGCTTTTAGAAAATCACAAAGTAAAGACATTTCTCAAAGAGAAATACACAAATGGATTATAAACATATGAAAAGATCTTCAATTTAATTCATTATCAAGGAAATACAAATCAAAACCATGAAGAGATCCTCATTCAGTAAGATGGACACAAATGAAAAGATAGGTAACAAAGGCTGGAGAGGGTGTGGAGAAATCAGAGCCCTCTTGCATTCATTGTAGGAATGTAGAATAATATAGACACTTTGGAAAACACTGTGGCCATTCTTCAAAGCCTAAACACAGTTACTATATGCCCCATAAAGTTGCTCAAAGGTATATACACAAGAGAAATGGATAAAAAAATATTCACACATATCTGTCAACTAAGAAAAAAAACTATTTACAAATGTTCATACCAGAATCGTTCATAACAGTGAAAAAGTGGAAACAACATGAATGTTCATGAAATGACAAATGGATAAATTGTCCTTTATCCATAGAATGGATTATTACTCAGTCATAGGAAAAATCTACAACATGAATATACCTTAAAAACATTATACTGAGTGAAAGAAGCCAACTATAAAGTACCACATATTATATGAATGCATTCATATGAAATGCCAAGAATAGACAAATCTCTAGAAATAGGAAGTAGGTTAGTAGTTGGTCTAGGGTTAGGAGGGTTGAGAGAAAATAGGGTATGATTGCTAGTGGGTACAAGTTTCCTTCTGTGATGATGAAAATGTTCTAAAACTGATTGTGGTAACGACTACATAAGTCTCTGAACATAAAAAAAAATCAATGAATTGTACACTTACATGAGTGAATTATATAGTATAAGAATTACCTCAATAAAACATTAAAAACATTTGGTCATCACATATATTTGTTTGATTTTGTTTTTGTTTTTTTGTGACAGGATCTTACTATGTAGTTCAGGCTGTCCTTAACCACTATGTAGCCCAGGCTGACCTCAAACTTGAGTCAATCCTTCTGCCTCAGCCTCCCAAGCGCTGGAATCACAGCATGCGCCACCACGCTTCATTTATATTTTCTTAATAGGTTGTTTCTAATTGTTCACTGTTACAACCAATATTCTGATGAGTGAGCCATGCGTGGTAGCACATGCCTATAATTCCAGCACTTGGGAGGCTGGGGCAGGAGGACTGCTGTGAGTTCGTGACCAGCTTGGGCTACATAGTGAGTTCCAGGTCAGTCTCAACTACATAGTGAGACCCTGTCTCAAAAAACCAAAAAATTATATATATTTTGATGAGTGGTCCACAATTTTTAAAACCTCTATAGGTTATTCTATAGTAAAGCAGATTAACTGTGCTATTTCCCAAAAGCCCAGAATGAGCATAAACTACCACTTTTCTTCATCCTGTACATAAAAACATAAACTGCTGTCATCACTAGTAATTATCAATAGCACTTCCAGGAAGTTCATTTCAGCCCAATTTCTCTCAAAGAGCTGAGCAGAAAAATAAGAAGAGTATTTTCAATAGGCAAAATATTAAGATTATGCATTTTTGTAACTGCAGTATTTTTAATATCAAGATCTGTTATAAAATATTATTTATTGTTTCTTTTTAACAATTGAAGAAATATACTTTGTGTAAAACTATAAAACTGAATTATCACTATCAATCCATCAAACATAATAATAAATTTAATTTTAAATATTTGAAATTTGCTGGGCATGGTGATGGCATATCTATAATTCCAGCAATCTGGGGGACTGCAGCAGAAAGAGCATAAGTTCAATTCCAGTCTGGGCCACTCAGCAACTTAGCAAAACCCTGTCTCAAGATAAAAAAATGAAATAAAATAAAGAGATAGGGATGTAGCTCAGTACAATCTCCAGTACTCACAAATTAAAATAAATAAGATTAAAATATTTGACATTTGGAATAAAAAACCCAGCTGGCCAAGACACTTAAAAGTATTATCCTAATAACTGTTTTACTTAGTAATCTGTAGTATCTATACTTAGCAATACCAAAATAATAACTGGAATATTTAAAGTGCTATCACTAAAAGATTACAAATTCTGGGTACTATTTTAGACAACAAAAATGACTGTACCAGAATTAGCATTTGGATGTACTAAGAATTCTGAGACTCAATGAGTATCAATGAAATCAAAATGACAAAAATAATTTCATACTTAAACACTTACTTTTTACAATGAGACTACGTCTACAGAAGCATAAAAACTCAGGTCAAGGACCATGGATTTAGCTCAGTGGTTCCGCCATGTGCCTCACAAGTGCAAGGTCCAGAGTTCAATCAGAGTTCCAAAAAAAAAACTCAGGTCAAATAAAACATTTTATATATTCTTGATGATTTACTATATTTTAACTTCAGAATCCATTTTTAGGGAGACTCTCATAGGCTGACAACAAATAGAAACTATTAGTGTATTATAAAATATATTAGAGTTTCTTTTACATATTTTAAAAATTTATGTAACTAATCTAAATATTTAGGTAAATCTACATTTACCTAAAATATTTAGTAAAAGATAATTAGGGGCAAAGCATATAGCTTAGTGGTACAGGGATTACCAAACATAAATAAATAAGGTCCTGGGTTCAATCCCTAGCACCACTTAAAAAAAAAAGATAATTAGATCAGTTTTATAAGATGCTTAAAGTACCTATACTGCCCTTCTAATTTTTCTCTTTTTAAAAAAAGAGGATTGAAGAAAAAAAAAAGGGAAATATAGCTTTTTCAAATGGGGAGGGGATCAAGAGTTGGAGGGAGTAGGTAGGAATAAGAGGGAAGGGGACAAAAAAGAATTAAGATGTGCTACATACATGCACAAACTCCCCATGACAAATGTAATCATTATGTACTGTAAACATAAACTAATTTTTAAAAATAAAGTAAAATCAACATAATACATATTTATAGCAATAATTTTATAAAAGTTATAACAAAAAACAATCATACTAGTTAGGACCTTTTGTAATTGTCTAAGCCAATTAATTGCTATTATTTCTAAGCAACACTCATCTGCTATTAACAATTTAGTACAAATAAGGAAAAATGAGGTTACTACTTCTAATTCCATAAACATCCTGCCCACTACAAATCCCACAATTTTTGTTAAATCCTCATTCAGTTTTTACTTTATTTACTGTGATCATGTAAACACTATGTACTGCTGAGCCAAACTGGGAATACGATTGTATTTCCTTTCTTCTGTACTTTTTTATTTTCCTGGGGTAATTATTGTTTAATCTTTACTTGTTTAGTTTTCGGTGAACTTATCTTCTTCTGAAACATTCCAACAGACTTGAAAAGCTTAACATACTTAAAAAATATCAGGTAATAGTTTTTTCTCTGAAAGACTTCCCTCCTGAAGCCCTCCATCTCTTGTGCCTATGGGACTGGGTGGGTCTCCTAGACAGCTGCCATCATAACCCCCCTGCTATATCAGTATCCAGAGCATTCCCTCACCTAATCCTTGTAATGGATATACTACGTTTTTCTGGGGTTTTCTGCTTGTTTGACCGATTTTTTGTGAAACACATTTTCTAAAAGTTTCCTTCCAGGGATTTAGCTCAGTAGTGCCACACCTGCCTCACAAATGCAAGGTCCTCAGTTCAATCCCTAGTATCAGAAAAAATAAAATAAATTAAAAAAAAATAAGATTCCTGATAAAAGGTACATAGAAAGTAAGCTTTTTTTTTATATTTTTTCTACACATTTTCCATCTCTTATCTATTTTTCCTACTTTGTAAACAATTTTTTCAACTTTATCTTAGAAACATTCTAAAACTTTATGCTATCGTATTTTTTAGTCATGCAATAAATATTTGCTGATCACCTATTAAACTAGGCAGTGTCCTTGAGCAAAAGACTCCAGAAGCATACTAAACACGGTTGGAGAAAAGAGGGAAAATAAACAATAATAGTAAACCAGCAAAGTATATAATGGCATAGAGCTGGCATGTTCTACAGGAAAAGAAAAAGAAACTGTAGAATAGGTTAAGGACGATGCAGGGAGGTAGGTTGCAAAACTAGATAGGGTAAAATTGAGTAGGACTCACGAAGCTGAAATCTGAATGAAGATTTATGGCCTGTTTATTTTTTATAGGACAAGTTTCTTCTGATGCTTAGTTTTATCCAAATTCCAGAGTTTTCTGTTGCTGCTCTGTTTTACTTATTTCACTCATCTGTACAGTTTTTCAAGTGTCTACCCTTGGCAGTTCTCTGCTTTTTTGTTTGTTTGTGTTTTTGAGACAAGGTCTCACTATGTAGTTGAGACTGACCTTGAACTCACTATGTAGCCCAGGCTGGTCTCCAAATCACAGCTATCCACCTGCCTCAGCCTTCCAAATGCTGGGATTACAGGCCTGCGCCACCACACCCAGCGGCTTGGAAAGTCCCAAAACACTGAGTACACTTGGGACTGTTAATTGATCTGGTTTAAAAACCATTCCACTGAAAGAATACCATCTCCTAGAAGTCCTAACATTTTCTCTAGAATTTGGTCCGTTTTTCTAGAAAAGAACTATCAAGTTTTCTGCCAAAGAACATAAACTTTAAACAGGAAATGGTAACGGCAGATCATATGGTAAAGAAGTGGATGGCATTTCAGTTTATGGACTTTGATTCAAACCCCTTTGTTATTTGATAACCTCATCCCTACTTTCCCACTCTAGCTATTAAACCCAAGTTCAAAGCCTCTACAGCTAATTTTTTTTAATAATCCTACATCAAAAGTCTCCCTGGCTCAGTTTTTAAATTTGCTATTTCCTACTAAGGTGGGAAAGGGATTAAGTACACATGTTGTACCTACCATGTTTAACAGCAAATCCCTCTTCTGATTTTTCAAAATAAAGAGTAAAATAAACATTAAAACACAACAGATCTTGGGAGAACCACGCCTGCTCCCAACCCAGCCGCCATTGCTCAAGCACCAGGAAGTAGCCTGGGCCCCGATCCACCGCGGGAAGGAGAGCCACGGCAGCTCCCAACCCAGCCACCATCACTCAAGCACTGGGAAGGTAGCCCCTGAACCCCCATAAGTCCCCCCCCAACTGCACTCTCACACCTCCTGACTGTGCCAGTCTTTGGAACCACTCTGCAGAGACAGAGGTGGTCATCAAGGGTATTTTTCTGAGTTCCCAACTTTGAACATCTTTAAAGAAAGGGGGTGGGAAACCTGTAAGAGAACGTTGTGGAGTTCAACCATTCAGAAGGTTGGGGAACTCAATCTGGGCCTTGCAGCCCCGAGGTCAGTCAGCGTCATGGGGTTCAGCCATCAGCTGAGATCAGGGGTCTTGCATCCTCGCTCTGTCTGAGCCATTAAATGGTAAATACACTATATTGAAATTTTGTTCACTGCAGACATGTTCTGGGCTGCTTCTTGATTTCACTTTAATTCAAATGATTTAAGGGTGATAGACTAGTGACTACTACCGGTGGTCAGTGTCCAAGTTGTGCTTGATCTTAATATGTTGCTGATTGCATGAGTTGGGGTAAAGCATTGCGGTTGATTTGATGAGCTGTTTTCTCTGATGTTATGAAGATGAGAATGTCTGTGGGTCATTAGAGACACAGAAGCTAGGGCGCAACTATATCAGGAAGATTTGGGTAATAATGCAGAGATCAAACCAAGGACAGTCCGACAACAAAAATAAAAATGAGAAAACACTTAAGCAAGACACAAGGACAGACTTCCAGTTCACCAATGGCAAACAGTAGGGCAAATGAGGATGAAAAGGCCGATAATGAACCACCAGGACACCCTGAACTCAAAGCACAGGAAGTAACAAAACAGATCAATCAGGCTCTAGAAAAATTCAAAACAGAAATAATTTCCCAGATAATCATAGCGATAGTGAGCAAAATGGAAGTCGTGATTTGAGACTCTAGAGCAGAAATTGACAAAAAAATAGATGAGCTCAGGACCATGATAGAAGCCATCAAGACCCAGCATAAGGAAGAAATGGAAAAAATAAACGCCCAACATAGGAAAGAAATGGAATCCATAAAACAGATTCAAACAGATATCCAGGAGATTAAACACTCTATTGAAAGTGTACACAACAGAATAAAAGAATGTGAAGATAGACTCTCAATATAGAAGATAAGATTGCAGTCAGTGACCATGAAAAGAGAGGTCTCTTAAAAACAGTAAGAGATCATGAGAAATCAATCCAACAACTCCTAGATGATGCAAAGAAGAATAACATAAGACTGATAGGAATACATGAAGTAGCAGGAGAAAATACAAATGACTTTAAAAAGCTGTTCAATTAATGACAGAAAACTTCCTAAACAGAGGGTAAGAATTTGACATTCAGATAACTGAGGCATATAGGACACCAACTAGCTACAATAAAAAAAAAATCTACACTTAGACATATAATAATCGAGATCCCAGAAATCCAAAGGAAAGCCCATCAGAATCACAGCAGACTTTTCAACACAAACCCTTGGGGCAAGGAGAGCCTGGAATGAGATATTTCAAAGACTAAAAGAGAACAACCTGCAACCTAGACTGATGTATCCAGCAAAACTCTTTTGCAAAATGGATGGGGAAATAAGACACTTCCACGACAAAGAACACCTGAGAAACTACATGAATACCAAACCAGCACTACAAGCAATTCTAAACAAGATCCTAGAAAAAGACAATGAAGGCAACAACACCATGAGGCCCAACAGAGCAAATCAAATAGGCAAGGCAAGAAATTAAAAGGAGAAGGTGAAAAGTAAAGAGTCAACAAAAGGCCAATAACATGTCAATAATAAGTCAGTATATATCAGTTATAACCAGCAATGTCAATGGCCTCAACTCACCAATCAAGAGAAATAGACTGGCAAAATGGAATAAGAAGCAAAATCCAACAACATGTTGTATACAAGAAACACACCTAGTGCAAAAAGAAGCCCATAGACTGAAAGTGAAAAGATAGAAAACAATTCTCCATGTGACAGGAGCCCAGAAAAAAACAGAGGTAGCAATCTTATTTGCAGACAAAGTAAATTTCAAACCAAAACTGATTCTAGTATTATCGATGTAGGACGGTACTGTATCATACCTCTATGAATGTAAAATATCTTGTACCTGCTTTATGATACATAGTAGGGACTGTGCTTTATCAGAACTACAGTTAATGATATTATTCTACAATGTTCTCTTTCCAGATGATGATTAAGATGCTAATAAAATAAAAATGGTCCCAGGTACCACAACAGCAACACAAGTCTGCTGTTTTCTGGATATTATTCTTTTCTTTGTTTTTTTGTTTTGTTTTGTTTTTAATGGAATGTGCTGAATGTCTATAATTTTGTTCAGATGACTGCAGAACCTGGAAAAGCTGTTGCTGCCATTGATGTATAACATACTATTATTAGTCTTTTTATATAAATATATATATACATATATATATAAATTGAATTTTGGGAAACTAACGGTGCTGCCAACTTGGGAAAAAGTCATCCCAATTTACTGTGTTGAGTTGGCATTGTACAGAAATGGACAGCCATATTGGTCCAGAAATGTTAATTTATTTTTATTTTTATTTTTTTCCATGTGTACAGGGGTAACACATCATACTAAATATGTAAGGTCACATCTACGTGGGTTTGATTACAGAAACTAATATTCTCTAAATAATGAAAAAAGGAATAAGATAAGACTATAAGAGCAAGAAGCAATTTACATATGTTCGGGGACCATTTTCATTTCCAGAATTAAGGATTATTTTAATGTTACATCATTGCCTTTTCTCTTTTACTTTCCTTTTTAGTTTTATTTTAGGGTTCCCTATTTTTAATGTTCATACAGATATTTCTTTAACTGAAATACCGAATAGTTTCTTGGGTGCAAAAACTATAATAGTACACAGGATCCTAATGAGATAATTAATAATGTGAAATAGGACGTAAAGGGCTAAAGGTGTAGGGCAAGTGGGAATGGTGGGGGAAAGGTAATAAGGGAGAGGAAAAAAATATGAGAAACTGAAAAAATGGAAATAAAGTGTTTGTAAATGGGGAGGGGAGGGGGGTGAAGGGAAGGCAGGGACAAGGGGAAAAAATGAGAATCAAGACCTATTATGTAAAGGTACAGAATCCCAATGATGAATGTAACTGTATTGTATACCTAGATTGTACCAATAAACTCAATTAAAAAAAAAAAACACAACAGATCTTAATCTAAAAAATTACAAAGAAAAATTATAAAAAGTAATTTCTGTGCCTGGTAAGCACAAGGCCCTGAATGCAATTCTGGGCACCCATCCCCCCCAAAAAAATCTCTGGATAAAAGACTATTTATAGCCTACATATGATTTACACTGGTAGCTTTAAAAAAAAAGAAAATAATATTAATTTAAAATATTAAAGATTTACCTGTAAGATTCTAGAAGATCCACAATTTCAGTCTGCCCAAAGTGTTTAGCCCAATCCAGGGCCATCCTGCCAAAATTCAAAGATAACATACTAAGTATTATAAAGCTTCCACTCAAAATTATTTACCCATTAACGTAGAGATACACCCACAATTATTACATAATGGTTTTTAAAATAAAGGCAAATGTAAAGATAGAAACAGACACAGTCCAGAATTACCAGCCATTTGACGCTTTGCTATGGATGTTGGCACCCATGCTAATTAACTGCTCCACTTGGCTTGCAAAGCCTCGTCCTGCAGCAATCATCAGTGCTGTGGCACTGGTTTCACTATGTCTGTAATCGACTACAAGAAGAAAAAAATACAACTGTTAAACTTCCAAGTTATTTAAAACTATTTTAAATTTTTAATAAAATTTAAATGGCAGAAGTGGCTGTCGTTTTAACCTTTAACTTGCTCATTCACTTCACAAAAGAACATTATCTAGCCCTTAAATCAGATTATCCAAGGAAATCGATCACTGAGGTATCTGTGTATAAATAGGATGGAACAGACATTGTAAAGTGAAAGGTAGGACAAAAAAAAAGACAGCTATTACAGCTATTAAATTGTTTAAAACTCACCTATGTAATTAAAGTAGAAAAGCTACCAAGTTTCAGAACCTTACACAATCTCCTTAACTCTAGATGTCACCTTGATCACCAAGTAACAATATATTAAATAATTCATTTTCACCAGTTATCAGTAATGAATTCACAACAAATTTCTGTTTTCTTTTGCTTTTAATCCCACCTTATTCCATGCTATTTTCTAAAATGCTTAATGTGTATGTCTTAGTCTGTTTTCTTTTGTTTTACAAAAGAAGGGTACAAAAACCTGAGACTGGGAGATGTATACAGGAAAGCTCTTTGCGGAGCTCACAGTTCTGGAGGTCCAAAAGCATGGCAGCAACATGTGCTTGACATCTACAGATGCCTGATGCTGCCCAACTCGCAGCAAAGAAGGGCAGGTGGGTGTGTGTAAAAGGGGCAGCCAAGCGGGCTACCTTTCCTCGGTAACAATACACTCTTAACAGTGACCAATCTAATAGCATGAGAGCAACTCATACCCTTCTGGAAAAGGAGTACACCTCTTAAGAGACTCAGTAAATTCTTAAAGGTCAAAGGTCACTTTTAAAGTTGGAGCAAATCTCAATGTGAGTTTTGGTGGGATCAAATTATTTTCAAACCATAGCAAGGAAAAACACCAGAATAAAGTTTACTTCTAAATATGCACAGAAAAATAAATTCTACTGAAGTTCCTTCTTAATGTATATTTTTCAAATAATTAGTAGGTAATTGCTTAGCATTAATTTGCTTCAATTACAAAATTGGTAATTTTAATAAGAATTCATCATTGGGAAAAAACCTTAGTGTAAAATTTAAGATAATTATAAAGAAAAAATTAATTTTCCACATACAGTATGCCCAATTACCTCCATTAATGACATTCTAAAACATGTATCCACTATCACCACTATCAATCAGTGGTTTCCAAAGTGAGGGAACTTAGAATTGCCTCAAGCTTCTGTTTCTTAGGACTTTACTATTTAACAGCAGTTTTATATTCAATACTAAAGAGATGTTCCATATACCCTGTCCCTACAATGTATGGCCTCCCTTATTAACAAAAGAGCGGTACGTATGTTACAACTAAAGAACCTATAATGACAATCACTTCAAATTCCAGTTTTCATTAGGGTTCACTCTTGGTGTTATACAGTCTGTGTGTTCGGAAAAATATATAAAGACAAGTATTTTTACTTTTTACACTATTTTGCTTTGTATTTTTGAAAGCACAGATAGCCACTGTGCTATCACTCTCAGAGAAACCAGTAGCTACATCCTAGTATAATAAGACAGCCCTATAGAAAGATTCATACAACCAGAACCAGAGCCCTCTGGCAACAGCCTGCAACAAACTTAAGCCTCTTGCCACTAGTCATTCCAGTGAACCTTCTTTAAAGTAGATCATCCTTGCTGGGCATGGTGGCATACACCTATAATCCCAGCACTTAGGAGGCTGAGGCAGGAGGATTGCTTCAAGATCAAGACCAGCCTGGGCTACATAGCAAGTTCCAGGACAGTCTGAACACAGAGAGGCCATGTCAAAAAAAACAAAAAACAAAAAAGTAGATCATCCACCCACAACAGACCTTCAGATTACAGCCCCTAACAATGTGTTAAGTGGCCCACAGGAGAGAACAGAAGCCAGCTTAAAACTTACTTGTCATTCTTAACTCTCAGAAACTGAGATAATATTCTAGGCTGCTAAGTTTTGTTATCATTTCTTAGACAGTAACAGAGTATGTCTAGTCTTACTAATTATTAGCTGCTTCTATAGAGTCATGTGGAAAAATGATGGTACTAAAAAAGAAATCTTTAAGCCCACAGTTTCTTAGATTACATTAAGCATTTCCAACTCCCAAGGCATTAAGAGTTGAGATTTTAGAAGACAAAAAGATGGGAAATAAATAAACCATAGAGCTACAATAAATTTTTATTTTACTTCACATGACTGAAGAAATTAGAGCATTGGATTTAGGGCAGGGATTTAGCTCAGTTGTTCCTCTGCCTGCCTCGCAAACACAAGGACCTGAGTTCAATCCCCAGTACACCCCCACACACACAAAAAAAAGAGCACTGGATTTAAGGCAATGTATAAACTATAAATAAGAGAAGTAATATTTAGAAAGAGAACTAAAGATAATATTTACATACCTAAAACATTAAGCTTAAAGCAATAAAATATGTCATGGAGTTTTGGGGTTTTTCGGGTTTTTTTTGCGGGGGGAACACGGTCTATATAGTTCAGGCTGACCTGGAACTTGAAGTTATCCTCCTGCCTCAGCCTCGCAAGTAGTAGAATTACAGGCATGTGCTACCACACCTGTTGTTTTTTTATTTTATTTTGTTTTTTGGGTTTGGTTTTCTTTCTTTTTTTTTTTTTTTTTTT